AAAGTTTCGCGATGAAAGTTCCGAGTCCAATGGAAGATGACAAGATATGATCAAGTTTTCTGACTGATTTCGCATCATTTGACTTAATTCCTTCTCATTTCGTTAAAATCCTATCTTTAACTTCGTATCATATACACTTTGTCTCGCTTGAGATTATTACTTTGATTTATCGTCGTTATTATTGTTGAAGCGAGAAAAGGTCTCAAACGTACGTATTTTGATATTTTTGTGGATGAGAATTTGTTAAGTAGTGTTTTTTTTAATATATGTATATTCGATGCAGTTCGAGATTTTCGTAAGAAAATTATTACATAAAAGAAAGAAAGCACTTTTTGCCTTTCTTTGTATTTCTTTTACAAAACTCAAAGTATCATCTATTCTAATGCAGAAGGTCTAGCATCTAAAAAAAGACGTGAAACCATCTCTCAAAACCTCCATCCGAGCTCTCCCTACAAGTAATAATAACAAAAAAAAAAGGTGATAATCTCAACTGTAAAACACCCTGTACAGACACGAGACAGTGAATGGCACTCGTTAATCGTTCAGAATCGCTCTTTTCCGTTCGAATCCCCCGTTCGAAGGTGCACGCCACTCGTGATACATTACGACTTCCTCGAAAACTGATCGAGACTCTGACACGTGACACACGAACGTGCACGAGTACACGAAGAAGAGAAGAGAGAGAGAGAGAGAGAGAAATGGGGGAAATCGGTTTCGAAGATCGTGGTGGAACAGCTGTCCTTGACATTGAACACACTGCGGTATGCGCGTCCACTTCCGGTCGAGATCGAGCGCCACGTGGTCGCGGAGGTGCCGTGGACAGCTGTGAAAGGTCGAAAAAAGCGTCAGTGTCGTTCGTCGATACTTTTTGCACGCGCAGCGGGAGGGGAAACATCGTCGACGACAACATCCTGACATTTGCCAGTCCACCGCCTTTTGTCCCTGGATTTATAGAGCCGTGGATTCTCTCTCTCTCTCTCTCCTTCGTTTCCATTTCTTTTCAGACGCTTCATACTTGACCGGCTTCCCTATCGTTGTCGCTCGATATCGTTATTGCGATTCCCTCGACGCATCAACGCCGGTCTAAATTCTTAAGCCAATTACGGGAAGCTCTATCCCACGCGAAAACTTCGCCATGTTACGCGATTATACGGGAGAGAAATTTTTATTAACAGAGATGACTGATCTCGGGATGATCGTTTTTCTTTCCCACTTTTCCAAGAATATTTATGTTTCGAAACAGACGGTGAAGAGGATTATACCAAAGAGTATAAATATCCCAATTCTTCGATTTATTAATACGATCCTTTATGTCGATGATTTCCAAAATTCTTTGTTAATAAAAAAACCCTACGAACTCCTCCATTTTACTTCCAATTTACCATCGAGCATCTTCCCTTTATTCGAAAAGCCATTTTCGTGGGAGAAGATATCAGGAGGGAAAATATCGGTTGACCCGTCGTGTCATCTCACGGAAGAGAGCGAGAAAATCCGTGTACTTCGCCTTGCATAGATCCAAGAACAGATGGATCAAATTCCTAGGAGAGGAGGAGGTGTTTGAACAGGACATGCCTATACAACCCCCTTCTCCGCCTTCTCCTCTCTTCCCAACGTTGCTAATGGGTGTGCACACCAGATCCAAAACACACGACGCGGTTATGCTCGCCGCACACAGATAGATAGACCTTAGACCGTCACCGTCCTCGAGTATTAATGCGATAACTAACAATAACAAGGTGAATCCCTCCCCTCTCTTCATCCTCGATGGAACCCTAAGCTATGCGCCGAGAGACGAGTCTATGTATTTTCGTGATTTCCGCGATGCCTCCGGCACGGTGGATCCCTTTATAGGTAGGGCACAACGACGCAACGAGAACTTTGATCGTCGTGTTACATTGTGGCAAACCGCCGATACGACGAACGCCGGGGCTGGATAATCCCTTTTCGAGTAGGGGCCGAAGGGTACTTTACCTCCAGCCAGGTTTGCCCTCGTTCAACAATCCCTTCTCGACGTTCTTTCTCGCCTTAGGACACTTAGGGATACGCTGTTTTACTCGGGGATTTCGGTCCTCGTTACGGTAATAGACCGGGGCACGGGTCTTCTTCTTGTTCCATGGCGAGGAAAGGGTGGGTAGATAGGTTACGTTGTGTAAATTCGTAGATTTTTTTTTCTTTTTTGGTTGATTTGGTTGGTAACGAATTAATTTTAATAATAAAGTAATGACAAATGCGATCCAAAGTGATCCAAAGTCGGTATTTCATCTCCCTTGTAGCTCTATATGTCGATGCCTGAAGATGGCTGATGTACGGATTAAGAACGAAGCTTTTGAGCTAATTGATATTCAACGATCAAGAGAAATATCTTATCTGGCCCCGGAATTTCAATTCTCGTTGTCCTAAACAGACAAAAATAGCGTATAATTCCACTTCAGAAGATGAAAATAAAATCTCTGGACGAGTTTCGAATTTATCGCGCTTAAAACTTATCGCGAACGATAACGAGCGAGTTCAAAGTTGAAGAGTAGTGAAATTACCAAGAATATTAATAAAATTATTTAACACTCTCTTGAAAAAAAAAAAACTGTCCTTATCGTCCATATTAATCGAATCGATGGCGGGAAACTTTCGAATTATATTATTTTATGTTGCATAAAAATTCCTGCGCACGGAAGAATATCGTGTGCCTGTCTCGCACGCACACAATTTTAACAAACCCAAATAGGAGGGGAGAAAAAAAAATTCCCTTCGAAGAAGGGGAGAGAATCGGTCAGGAAAGAAGCGTTTGATCATTCTGTTACACTTTGGCTAACCACGACGTCAGTGAAAGAGAGAACAGAGGAAGGATAATCCTTCTTTTCCGAGGAGAGATTTCGAGAGAGGGAGAGACAGAATCTTGACGAAGTCTCACCTCGAGGCAGGCAGGTGCTGCACGGAACGCGGAACGCACCCTTTTTCGGCATTCTTCGACAGTGAACGGGGAAGACGCTCTCTCTGTGACATTGTTGACCCTCTGCCACATGGCGTTTCGCATATGGCGCACGTTCTCCGTGCCGGTTATTTTTATACGGTTCTCGTTACGTTATGAAATTCAGCACGCGGTGGAGGTGGATAACACACGATGACAGATTGGAGGCTGGCCCGTTTAGAGAGAAGATTACAGCTGCGCGTATAACAACCCCCGATCGGTTCGTTAAAAATGCGGAAGGAATCGTGGCGAAAAAAGAAAAAAAGGAGACGAGACGCGTGCACGCTACGGAGGATATCGTGTATCCATCAAGAATTACTTATCGAATTTATTATGACGAGAAAAGCGAAGATTTTTTGGGATCAAAAACATTTCTCCTCTCGATCGTTAATTAGAATATTTTAAAATTTTCGCCATTTTCCTCCGATCCGATTGATAATTTATCTTGATTGATTTCTGAAAAAGAAAACTGCCTCGAACTGTATCGTGAATGATAATAAATAAAATTTCTCTCGGCTCAGCTATCGAACGTTACTCATCGTCCAAAACTGCATCCATTAAGAGATTAAAACGAATCAATCCGTTGTATATATGTGAAAATTCCATTACGTATGCCGACATTACGATCCCGCGATGCATCCACGTCGTTCCTTGCATTGTTCGGAAACTGCGGGTGGAAAGGATTAATATAGGCGATGAAGAGCGTAAAGTCAATCGTGTGAAGTCTCGCGTAAAGTGCGCTTCGTTCATGGAAATCGAGGTAGTTTAATCAGAAAACTGCGGGGAGCGGGGCCACGCGTAGCAGTAAGTACCCTCCATCGGTGGAATGTAGGGGCGTTTAAGTAGATGGAGGGTATAGACCCCTGTCTACTCCATTTGCTTCCAGCCCGAGGGACTTCCCCGATATATATCCCAATATTCCTGGTAACAATGATGAATCACTGCAGAGCACCTCTTGCGCAAGAAGTTGCACATCCAATGCGCTCTGCAACGTCTCTTCGTTCCCCCTGTACCTCTGTCTCTTTCCATCCATTCTTCCAATCTCACTTTTTCTCGCCGCGATACTTTCAAATAACCCGGTTTAACCGTAATAATACCGTGTATCTAATGGCGGTTATGTAAAAAGGCTGATGTAACAGTCGGATAAATATAAATGCGTTAATACTTATTTTGAAAATTTTTCGAGGTGAATTAGCTTTCGAAAGTAAGGAAAAAGGGGATCCTGAGCAATATCGAGAGATGATTGCGTTTCCTAAATGTTCGAGAATGATACGTGTTTCAAATATTATCATTATTTGAATAATGTTGCTATAGATTTAAAAGATTCGTACATCATTCGATGCATTTCAATAAATGCAGCTGAATAATTTCATTCAATCTATCGAAATCTGAATATCATTCTCGTGATAAACTCGTAATGGACACACGTCGTCGCTTGTAATATTTGACGAGTTAATTTATAGTTTCGATAACTGTGTATACAAACTTTGTATTGGCGCGACGATCATCCGTAATAACCGAAGCAAAATAACATCTTAATCTATTCGACTTGCCGTATAAAACAGTGTGGACACGTATATAACTCATGACAAATCGTTCTTCCCTTGTTTGCGAATCATGTAATTACACACACAATCGTTATACCTAATTTCTCCCGTTTATTCCGTCCTTTTTATCAATATTTCGTTAAATTTTCGTTTAATAGCCGCAAACAATTCATCCGAGTACGCGAGAGAAACAAGAAGAAAAAGCGAAAAAGGAACGCGGCTATTTATTGGTATGATAAATCAACAGTTGAAACGCGTTCACGGCGACCAATTAGCGTTGGATGTTAAGATGGTTGGGTCAGAACCCATGTAATAATGACGAATCAGTTCGGAGCCGGTCTGGTGGCATGGTTGACTACCTCTTATTAATAAATTCGCTTCCCATGCGACGTCCTATGAATCATTCGATAGGCAACAGGGGAGATTCTATTAAACTGATTGGTTTATGCCTCTACAGTTCAACTCGTATCTATTCGTCTTCGTTCTTAGGGCCAATAAACACATTTATACCCAATCCACCTATATTCCTATTACCGATCCTGTGACCGAATATCTAAGTAGGCAACTGGATATTTGTTTAAAATATAAGACGTTGATTTATAGTTTATTAGGAAAACAATTTATGTACGCTTGCATTTTTTTTTGATAACGAAAGAAAGGAGACACAAGAAATTCAAAACATGGAGTATCAATAAACATAAGAATGTATTTTTCATGTCTCAATAAAAACTGGCAACAAGATAAACTCTTTTTGCCTTTTTTTTTTTTCTGTGATCGAATTTCCGTGAAAATTTATATGTATTTTTGATAAGATTTAATTGAATTATTATTACGATATATGTTTATAACCATATATATATATATATAAAACGATCGTTCGGAAATTAATTTAAAAAGTATTAAACAAATCTATTGCGAAGCTTAAATTTTACAACGCACCATTTAATCGATCTAGTTTCAAATTCGAGTACATTAATTCCGAAAACATTCGCTATTGATAGAACTTTAAGACAAGAAAAGGGAGATAGGGAAAGGGAATAGGAATTCCACAAATTTATTTAACGCTTGTAATATAACTAAAAACGTACCATTCACATTTGTGATGTATGGAAATAAATAAGATGCATTACGTTAAATTATACACCATTCTAGATAGGATTAACTCCCCTAATTTATTAACTTCGTTTCTAACTAGGGTGGCTCAAATCCTCATGACTTGGAGTTAACGTTGTTTTGCGGGGAAAATCTCATATGGGGATACTACGCTAAATCATCTTGTGGTTAAAGATGATTAAAAAAAACAAGAGATATGTACATACCGTATATTTATAATTGTTAGTGACAAGATATTTTATGCATACTTTGTATATACAGTCATAGGAAGAATAATGAATAATTGTTGTATCGATGAGTGATAATTGAGAATATGTATATCTTACGACACGACATCTTATATTAATGAACAATATAACATCGAATACATATATATTACGAATTAAATACTACGAATAACCTACGATATATTCAATAAATATATTATAATATAATACATATATGTGTAACTTACATACAATGCTGTCCTACCGAAGATAGAAATATCAAGGTTGAAAAGTCAGATCCATTGTGTAGACAACAAGCAATTTATGTATGAATCTCCTCCTTTTCCTAGTCCTTTCTTCATTACGAATTTTCCATGAAATTATCTGTTAAAGATAAATTATATAAATTAATGCTTTAAGAAAGGAAACTGATATAATTTGATATAACTTAAATTTATCTCTAATAATATCGATTATAATTATAGGTTATAATTTAAACTCATAAAACGCAGTATAATGAAATTGAAATGACGCATTATAATATATAAACGTTTAAATACAAATATATACTATAAATATCAATCAAAAAATTAATATTTATATGATATTCGTACACTTACAT